CCTGTGTGTGTGTGTGTGTGTGTGTGTGTGTGTGTGTGTGTGTGTGTGTGTGTGTGTGTGTGTGTGTGTGTGTGTGTGTGTGTGTGTGTGTGTGTCGCGGGTGCGCGCGTGTCGATATGTGTGCATGTCACCCTTTACTCATTTTATTTGAGAAATCAGGCATTTTCACTCTGTTAAATCTCGCAGGTCGACTGGAAGAGGTACATAGATATTCTGATGCCACCAAACGTCACCATTAGCGCCAACGAGACCGTGATACTCAGAGTGCCATCATACATGGAAGGCGTAGAAATGATACTGGCAAGTGGCAATCATAGTAAGAGGTACGTCAGAGAATATTGATCAGAATACGTTCCTATCTTTATTATATTATAACATTTTAGCATATAGGTATTATAGATAAAACATAATACATTATGTGAATTGTATTCCGTATTCGTCACACGAACGTGTGCGTTTGAGCGATTATATGATGCATCCGTTCAAGACATTGCAAGAAGAGACGAGATAGATCTGAATGTGTGGTTTTGATAAGAAATTATCCGTCCGAAAAGAATCGGTCTAGCGGCTCACCAAAAAGCCAACATGGCGGCATCACCTCAGCAGCGCACGAGTACGAAGAGACGAGAGGCAGTTTATTTAAACGCGCTATAGCAACGAAAACGTTTACATAGGAGTTTTATAAGAATTATCGTATGACGGAGAACCTATAATAGTATTAGACTTAGTTTAAGAGACGCTGAGCTATCGTTGATAAAAGTGCGCCTTTACCTACGAATTTTACATGTTTATGTCAGCGTCTGTGGTTAGAAATCGTACTCGCTGTCATCGTAATCGTACCGCTATTTCTACCGCGGTAAAAATAATTCAACGGCGGTTAAATTATAGCCCTTTTACCGAATCAGAGGCCTTGTTGTTAAACATAGTTTAACCGCGGATGAATTATTTTTACCGCGGTAGAAATAATCCAACGGCGGTTAAATCATGGCCCTTTTACCCAATCAGAGGCCTTGTTGTTACACATAATTTAACCGCTGATAAATTATTTTTACCGCGGTAAAAATAATTAATTCTGGGAGTACGATGGCCAACGATAAGCGTCGCTGTAGCACGAGCCTCGCATTTCATATCAGTCTAAACCGTATAAGAACATGACGACGACGACAACAACGTGAATAACAGCAGCTCACCGTACAATTCTCGTGCAGGACCGTCGCCAACTACATCGCCTTTCGTATCATCGACGCCCTATCTTGGGACCTGGACGAACGCTACCGCCAGGCGGTGCTAGAGTTCTCCAAAGCCACGCTGGGCGTGAAGACGGAGAAACCTCGCTGGAAGCCGTGCGTGAGTACGACGCGACAGACGATGCCGCTCGTCGCCGGGTACCTGTACGTGAAGAAACGATTCGCGGGAAAAAGCAAAGAGCTGGTAAGCGACGGATTCAACTGATTAAAATTGTACTTATGTACTACATGTAATTTCTTTTATGACGATGTACTTTGTATTTATGTATGTGTTATGCACAAATAAAACAGTTTAAATCTTGAATCTTGAATCTTGATTCGGTAAGCGATGGATTTGGTCAGTGATGGTGGAGCTGGTAAGCGATGGATTTGATTTGGTAAGCGTTGGATTTAGTAAGCAATGAATTTGGTAAGCAATGGGTTTGGTAAGCGATGAATTTGGTAAGCAATGGATTTAGTAAGCGACGGGTTCGGTAAGCGATGGATTAGTCGGGGGGCCTTTCGGACAGACAACAGTTATGTGAACGTGGCGCCTTAGAACGTCGTGCCGTAGCGTGGTATAGATACTGACTCTCGCGCGCGTTTTTTTCTTCGCCACTGTTGCGTAATATCAAGCGGAATGCAGGGGATATTTTTCGAGCATTTGCCTGATAAAGTAAAGAAACATTTTCCAGCGAGCGTTCGATATTATTTTTAACTATAAAATTTCTTAAATTTATTTTAATTAGCTTAAGAAAGCAATCAAATTTGTGCGTGTTTGATGAGTTATGCTCGTCTGCGTTTTCAGGCCTTGGAACTTATTAATGAGGTAAAGGAAGTGTTTGCCAAGGAAGTAATACGAGATATCGACTGGATGTCAGCTGCAACTAAGAAGGTTGCCGTAGATAAGGTGCGTTTAGGATTATTCCTTCTCCTTTCTCTAGACCTTTTCTTCTTTTCTTTTCCCTCGCCTTCTTTCATCCCTCCTCTTCTTCTGCTTCTTCTTCTTCTTCTTCTTCTTCTTCTTCTTCTTCTTCTTCTTCTTCTTCTTCTTCTTCATCTTCTTCCGCCTCCTCCTCTTCCTCCTCCTCCTCGCCTTTCTTTTCTTCTTCTTCTTCTTCTTCTTTCTCTTCCTCTTCCTCTTCTTCTTTTTCTTCTTCTTATTTTTCTTTTTTTTCTCCTCAATTTATTACATTATAATTACAGGCCAACGCTGTTCGAGCGTTTATCGGTTATCCAGAATTCATATACAATTCAACGCAGTTGTCCAAGGAATACAATTGGGTGAGTAGACGGAGATTATGTCACTGCATGCTTATCCAGCTGTTATAGTGCATGAATGTTTTTCTTTGGAACGTATTCGCTAAAAAATCATGCAACGAAATCTGCGTCACTTGAATCAATTTTCAATTTTTCTACAGCTTACGTGTTTTGTCGTTCCAGGTGCGTGCCTCGCGTGACCATTTTACGAACTTGATCAATATCTACAAATATAGAACCGAGAAAAATGTGTTGAAACTCCTTAAGCCGGTCGACAAGGACGAGTATGTGTGAACACACCTGCTAGACGTATACTACCTGACAAACGCAGAGCAGAATTAAATTCGTATAGCTGCATTCGTCAATGCATATTTTTGTTTATGGAATTTAGATCATGCGACGATTGGATGTAGAAATTGCATCCGACTAGTTACCATGAGGTTGAAGGCTACGGTAAATTGTACTCCGTACTGTAAGTCTGTATTCCATATAAATCCGCCCCATATCAAGAGCTTACAATACTATTATGTATTATATATTATATATCTACTCGTAGAAAAATATATAAATGTAAGTCGGTGCTGCGGTTTAAAACGAATTTAATCGAGTTTGAACGTAGCGTTATCAAAAATTATACTATGTTGCACGCATATATATATACTGTTCTTCTATTACGACATATCACTTATTATACTTATCTATTACATTCTCTTTACTATATAAAATTCGATTCATAAGTCATAACGCATTATTAAATTTTTAGATTTTTTTAAGTTTGGTTGGTGTGTGTATTTGTGTGGGAGTAGTTCGAGTGTTTCATTGGCTATTATTAACTTGTATTTATATCTTAACTACTCATTCGCGCGCGTGCTTTAGGTAATAAAATTTTCACAGGGGGTGGGTAGGGCACGACATAGCAATCATGCTTGCACAGTTGCTCTAGCATTTATATATACGCGCGTAAGATATATATTCGCTATATAGTGAAATTGTGTAATGCGTAAACTCGTGTGAAATTTGCGAAATTCAATTCTGCTTTCAATGGCGGTGCCTTATTCGCTTTATGGAATGAATATATATATATATATATCATCATGTATAATGAATGAACTACGGAGCATGGATTACGGGCGTGTGTGCATGGCGTGAGTGCATCATTCACGCACGCACGCACGCACGCTCGCACGCACGCACGCACGCACGCACGCACGCACGCACGCACGATTGACGCACCACACGAGCAAACGTTACGACTCAGCGCGATATATACACGCGCCGGCGAATTCAAACATGGCATTGTTCAGTCGAACACGGCTTCAGCTCTGAGGCAGAATTTTCTTGTGTCGGGTTATCCGCACATAAAAGCCGAATCGAGCGAGAACAATGTGGTTGGCTCACGTTATTCGTAGCTTTGTGCTCGGGTGTGTGCAGTTGGCGCTCTTTAAGCACAAAGAACACACCCGAGCAAAACGCCGAAATTTTGGTTTTCAGCCGATATTATGTCG